TATTCTTCTTGTGCAGGTGAACTCTGCCTGTATTAAGATGAGCGTTATTCTTCTCGTGCAGGTGAACTCTGCCTGGGAGACCCTGAATAAGACCTGGAAGGAGAGGGTGGATAGACTGGAGGATGCCATGCAGGCAGCTGTTCAGTTCCAGGACGGACTGCAGGTACAACCACTCACACGTTCTGGGTCAAGACAAGCTCTGTGTTTTGTGTAGTGATGTTATACTGAGTAGGTTTATTCTGTAATAATGTGACATATCATTTTCTCACTTTTTATTGCCCTAGAAACTGTTTTCATATGTGTAAAATTCTCAGAGGCTTCATTGCTTCTTTTGCTCCTTTCGTGTTGGCTTCACTTACGTTCTTTAAGCATGTCTTCTCGTTATGTTTTTTGTGGTAAGTTGTAAAGTCATTCATTTTTTTTGTTTAGCATTTTTCAACAATGGACTAACAATAGATGGGCTTTGTGCTCTGTGTATTCCTTTGTGCCCTCATCAATCTGTTCCTCTGGGTTTAGTCTTTGTAGTGTTTAAAGCGGTGTGAAATACTGAGAGAGCTGTTCTTGAGTGCCCTGTGGAGTTTAGCTGCCATTTTTAGAGGGAAGAGTTGCCCATCAGAGGAACATGTTGGTTAACTAAGAGATACAGTAAAAATGAATAAAAGCTGAACTTCAAGTGACAAAAAATGCAGCTATATTTAGCATTATTGTAATTTTTAAACTTACCTCATAAGTCCCTTGAGTATTAACTGTATTGCTACCTTGTGCCTCATTTAGCCTCTGCCCAGAGGTAAGAGGTTGGTGGTACCCTTATACTAAAGGGGATTATAAAGAGTTATTTTTTTCATTTGAGTAAATTTGTGACTTTTTAACTGATTTTACATAATTCCCAATTTAAGTTGTGTGAACACTGGTTGTGTGTAAATGGTAGAAAGCTAGAAAATGTGTGCAGAAAGGTAAATGTTATCTTTGTTCTCGGTCTGCAGGGGCTGTTCGACTGGGTTGATATTGTCGAGAATAAACTGGACTCTATGTCACCAGTAGGCACGGACCTGGAGACTGTGAAGCAGCAAATAGAGGAACTTAAGGTGCAGTATGCAAGTTGGAGTCATTATATCCACTGTAGACAGAAGTTCAAACATGGCAGACTTGTGTAATCCCATACAGTACTAGCCCACTAAGGACAGTTATCTGTTC